TAATAATGTCATGTTATTTGTTTATTTAATAAAATAAAATAATTTGAATATAATTGGTTACTAGTGTAAAAAACTTTATACTGATGATTAACTCATAAGTTAATATGATTAACTCATAAGTTAATATGAGTTTGTTTAGCGGGAGACATTTGTAATGTAAATAATAATAATTATTATTATTATTATAAATGGTTTAACAAAAGAATTCTAGAAAATTAAATGGAATGTGACTTTATGATTATGTTTCACTTAATATCTAATAACTGTTCTTATTATTGTTATTAATTATATAAGCAGAAAAATTGTGTTGTCAATTAATGGGTGAACATTGTTCATTTTTTGTCATGCTCTCAGTATTTTTCTTATACAGTGCTATTAGTCCACAGTTATTTTGTTCCATTTTCAAATCTGAAGTTACGGGAAAGATCAGCGTGATTTGTTTTTTCCTAACATTGTCCTCAAATTCAATGCTTATCTAAAGCTTGCAATCCATGTTGCATTGCGATATAATAGTGGAACTTACTTTCATCTGTAACCATTCTTGTCTGAATTCTGGTGTGGTGTTGTTTGTGGAGAACTCAGGCTTTCCAGAGAAGTATCTAAGTGGAGCTCTAATTTGCACCTCATACTTCTTACAAAAAGGTACCCAAAACTTAGCAAATTTGGAGGCTTCTTGAAGAGCATAGAAGGTGAGAGGGGAACAGTCATCATCAGAAACATAACAAGCTAGCTTATGAGATGGGTAATCAAGTGCCAACAGAGACAATACAGTGTTCACTGTGATAATCGGTGGTTCAAGCACAGGATCTGCTGTTGTCACGAACAAATCCACTGCTGGAAGCTCTTGCACGCTGCTAAACATAATGTACCAAAGATACATAAGTACATAACAGATATATATAATATCCTACATTCTGAGTTCGGCTACATGGATTTTAAGATGTTATTGGACTTAATGACTAGTAATTAGCATTGTGATTTTATAAGATTATTTTAACTTTTTTCAATGTCCTTCTTAATCAGTCTCCTTTTTCATAAGAGTAAAACTCATGCTATATACTGATCTCTTTATTTGTGCTTTTAATTGAGTTTCTTTATACATGTTCAAACACCTTAAACTACTTCTGTCATATTAATATCTCTTTGTATACAATTATTTCGAATTCTATTCTTTGTTAATTATTATATGTTCACACATCTAACTTAACATTTCCATTACTACTAACACTCATCCTTTTCTCTTAAATATCCCTTTAAAACCCAGCATTTACTTCCATAGAATAGAGGCAAATGTATTACAGTATACATAGTTTGGACTTATACTATCTTATATAAAAAATTTAATACGTATACCAAAATTCAATTTATTTCTGTCAGATAAAGTCTAATATCTCATCCTTCGTACGTATATGAATTTCTTAATGATAGTAATAGGAACAGTTGATAATTAAACTGGAAAGCATTAAATTGAAATGAATAATAGATATCGTTGATTAAAGGGAGTCAAGAATTAGATAGTAGATACCTTAGCAAAAGACGATCTGGGTAGGTTGTGATTAGAGCTGGATTCCACTGAGTGGTGAGGGTTAAAAACCAAGAGAAGGTGAACCATGATTCGCACAAAAAGGCAACAAACCAAGGGAAAGAGTAGCTGTTAAAAGAGATAACGCGATAACCAAGCAGCAGTAAGAGGAGGATTAAGAGCAAACTATCTGTTACCCTTTTGTAATTGTGCTTGTACCAGTATTTTTCATAGAGGGGGAGAGAGTTTTGGTTGGCCATTGAACATTGATTTGAGCAAGGCGATAAGAAAACACTCTATAATATATGATATATATGATGATAGTGAACCAAGGTGTTTATATGCGCCATATCTATAACAAATACTATATAAATGGGTGGTTTGTATAAGCTGGTAAAAAAATTTGATTTATCTCACCTGTGAGTAATTTAAGAGACAAGAAATGACAGATAATACTAACGCTTATTGGCCAGTCCTAGTAGATTTTTTTTCGTTTGTTTTTTTATGCCACTAGAGCTCAATTATTGGAGGTTTTATTGTTGATTTATTTGCTTCCAAGCATTTTCCAGTTATTTACTGTTGATTTTCCAGTTTTAGCATCCCAGCCACATATGATAGACCAGAAACAATATAGACACATGCCATACAAAAGAAAAAATTGGGACCCATGACATTTCTTCGTAAATTTTTAGCCAACGATTCTGTAGCACAAGAACAGTGAAACACACATAAATCAATAATTATATGTAATTATGTTTATTTATTTTTAATTACTATTTATAAAAGTAATCATGTAATCAATTGCATGTCGAGATGGACGGTAAATGAGTGAGAGGTTAATCATTATTCATTACTCCACGAGTTTAGACTTGTTTGTCATTAAGATTCATTCAGAAAAGTTGAAGTTCAAGTGTTGTTTTTTTTTATAACAAGGATAGTATCTGACCATGTCAAGCAATTACGTTGGGCTTTTGAAAGCAATTTGAGTGGGGTTCATGATATATACACCTCCTTTTTTTCTATAAGCACACCTTCTTTTAAAAAAATAATTAAAATTTTAAAATATTTTTAACTTTTTGTTTTAAATTTTTTAATTTTACATCCACAACATTTAATTTAATATTCTTCCTTTTTTCAATTTTTACATACATCCCCTTATGTTTCCTTCACCCCACCTATTTTGGTAACATGTGAAAATTAAAAGAAAAAAAAAAGTATGTGAATAAAAAGAAGAAAGTAGCAAATTAAAAATTTAAAATATAAAATTATTTTTTTAAAAAAAATTATAATATTTTATAATATTTTTTTAAAAGGAGATGTACTTATAAAAAAAAAAAGAGGTGTATATACCAGGAGCCTTTGAGTGGTTGGAGTGGGCGGAAGTGAAGGAAAGCCCAATCTAGATGCTGACAAACACACCGAAAATTGCTCCCTGCACCATACAGATTGCGTCGTACACCCTTCAAATTTTCCAAATTCCCAAATTACCCTTTCTGTCCTTTCACCCTTCACTTATTCTTCCCATTCATGCCCTTCTATCCAATATTTTATTTGTTCCAAAACACCCCAATCGAGAACAATGCTTATACGAAACAATCAATGCGGAACAATAATGGATCTATTTGCATAAATTTAAAAATAAGTATTTTTTTAAAAAATAGATAAGAGTTATTTTAAAAAAAAACAGAAATCTACATATTTAAAAAATTAGACAAACATATAAAAAATAAAAAGTATTTATTTTATTAAAAATAAGTAATTTTTAAAAAAATTAAATAAAAAGATTCATTATTCAAAATGGATATTCTAAAAAATGGAATTAATTGATCCTAATTAGAAATAACATTTTTTTTTCTTAAACTTAAGTGATAATTATTAATTTTTAAAGTTATCTAAAGGTAATTTTTTTTATACCTATAATTAATTTTAAATTTTATTTTTTTATGTATTCACTTATAACTAATAATATTAAATATAACATCTATTTAAAATAAAGAGTATTTTTAATATTTAGTAAATTGAAATTTATGACAAAATTAATTAAAAATAATAAACTTAATTGATGATTTATTTTATGTTATTTATGATTAGGACTGAAGGAAATATTTATTTGATCATGAAGGTAGTATTTATAATTGTTTTGGATATTTTTTTTTTGAATTTAGTGTTTCAAGTTAACAATTTCGGAATAAGTATCTTTAAATAAGATTTTGAGAATGGATGTTTCTTTACGTACTTAATAATCTTAAATTATAGATAAATATAATCTTATATTATAATATAAATTATTTATCATAAATTTAAATTATAATTAATATGATCAAAATATTATTTATTACAAATATTAATTATAATATAATTTATATATTCAAAATTATTAATTATTATAAATTTTAATCACATAAAATAAAAATTTATCATATACATTGTAATGTTAAAATACTAATTATAAATAAAATTAATATATTTTAGTTTATTTGATAATATTTTTTTAATCATTTTATAAATATATTAGTTTTTATTTTGCTTCCACTCTTTCTTTATTAATTTTATAATTTATCAAACAACTAAATGGTTTTTTTTTTCCTGGTTTCCTCTTCTTACTAATTCTTCTTTCCAGACAAATTGTAAGACACATTTCTCCGAATCTCCATTCTCATTTAGACTGTTATTCTCTTAGCGTCGTTCAGAAGTGGAGTGAGTGAGTGAGTAATGTTGCGTGTTGCCCCAAAATTCTTCAGCAGTGTCCCTCTTCGGACCATTTCACCCTTTGCATGTCGCTTCTCACTTCGTTCTATCGCTGATTCTGCTCCTTTCAACAAAATCCGCATTCAAAGGGATGACACAGTCAGTCATTGCAACCCATTCCAATTCCATTTCTTTCATATCAAGTTTTTTCGCTCATGGGGTTGCTTTGTTTTGCCGCGTTCATAAATTTCCATTTTCCTTTGTCTGAAAAATTGAATTTTTGTGACTTTTTTTTCCCCATTGAATGGGGGTTGAGTAATGGGTTTTTGAATTGAACTAGGAGGGTATTGACGAGCCTCTGCAGGGAAAAAGATAAATTTTGGAACTTTTTTATTTATTTATCATCAATGTGTTGGGATAGTTATTATCTGGAAACAATGAATTGAACTTAGAACTGATTATTTAATGATGTGCCAATATTTATCCTGGACTATAGCTGAAAATTTTTGTGCATTTCAACTTTAATGTGGTTTTCACTTTGCAGAATAAAGTTGTGATTTAGACTAGATTGATAAGATATCATTTTTAGTGATGATGTTAGGCCTGGAGTTTTCTTATGCCATTTGCTATCTGTAGTGGGACCTCATTGCTAATTTTCTGTTATGTAATTTCTGTTTTCAATGATTAGGCATTCGATGCATATGTCGTTGGCAAAACCGATGCACCTGGAATTGTTGTGCTTCAGGAGTGGTGGGGAGTGGACTTTGAAATTAAAAATCATGCTGTGATGATTTCTCAACTTGGTCGCGGATTCAAAGCTCTTATTCCGGAGTAAGATAGTTGTTTCATCTAAATTTCCTAGTATTTTGTCTTTGTGTGTTGAGCAGTAGCGTATTCTGTGGATTTCTAATGGGTTTTTGCCTTTTTCTCCCAGTTTGTACAGAGGAAAGGTTGGTCTGGATGTTGCAGAAGCACAACATTTGTTTGATGGTCTTGATTGGCAGGGTGCTGTGAAAGATATCCATGCTTCAGTTAATTGGCTTAAGGCAAATGGTTCAAAGAAGGTTTCTCCCTGTTCATATGTTGTCAAGATAAAATCTGCTTTATTTTTAGAATGCCCTCTTAAGTCTTAACCACACTGCCCTGGTTAATATGGACATATTTATATGTTGACCTGTAACTGAAGGATCATTCTGTTTTTATTGCCATTCTGTGATTGCAGAAGGTTCTTCTGCTTTATCAACTCATGATGGCATAAACTAGTCTTTGTTATGATTCATTGAGTTGGCTTGAGGGTTTGATAGTGTGAAATAGGCATAGTATAAGCCTATAAAGCACCGATACTTCAACTTGCTTCACGTATCCGATACGTATCCGACACGATACTCTTGGATACTTCACCGATACTTGTCAATGAAGTATCCTAACTTTTGAAAATATTATGAAAATTTTATATAATCTCGATACTCTCAGATACTTCACCGATACTTATTGGTGATACGTATCGATAAAGTATTCAAATTTTTGAAAAATTATGAAATATCCATTACAACTAAATAAGATATATAAACATTTTTAATATAGAAACATAGAAATATTGGTCCTTGATAAACTGTAAATGAAAATTGTCTTCTACATAGATAATTTTAAGAAATGAATGAAATTGGTAATATTATTTCTATTTGTAAATAATAAAAGTTAATTTATGATGAAATGGTTTATAATTATTTTTAGTAATGTACAATACGTATGTTTTTAATTTGGATTTGCAAAATAGCAATTATATATTTAATGTTTATAAATTTTGATCAAAATTACAAGTACACAATTATTATATTGTATGAACATTGATATGTATGACGACACGTATCTTACAAGTATCGTATCCTATATATTTTAAAATAATCGTATCGCCGTATCGGATACGTGTCGTATCCGATACGCGTATCGTATTGGTGCATCATAGGTATAAGCTAATACAATACATTGTACTTTGTTTGTTATTTTTGGTGCAAGAAGTATTACATAAGGTTATTCATCAAACCCCTCTTATACATTAAAATTGTGAGACAATTTAATTTAGACTTGAGGGAGGGATTGAGCTTAATTTCATTTTGGTGTACGAATTCATGAAAAAATTTCCCCATGAAAAGTTGAAAACCCAATTCCTGATAGTTTTAAAATTTATCAAGCCCTGTGCTATCAAGTGGGTATAATATCTGGCCTTATTTATCATGTGTATCTAATAGGTCAGGAGTCTTACTTAAAGTGAGGCACTAATGGTTAGTCCTCTAGTCCCATAACCATTGTTCGAACTTGTAATTTACTTATGGTAATTTGGATCCATCTACCTTTTGTTTTTTATTTGGAAAAGTTGGCATTATAATCATGACAATGGATTCATCTGAATAGGTGGGAATTATTTTCCAGACTTCTTTTTATAACATTTCACGTATAGTATGTAATTTTGATGAGTGTGTTATACTGTCATGTGATGACATGATAAGTTTATCAACAATGTTTATTAATGTATTTTGATAGTAAAAGAGCTTATTAAAGGTAATTTTTATCGATAGGGAGCATGTTTAATTATTAATTCTGTTATGAATCAGATAGTCCAAGTCCTCTATTTTTCATAGATTACATGCCAAAAGGGTAGATAAAACGGAGTCTGGTTGTTTATTTATTTTGTAATTCTTCCCTCCTAAATTTTAAAATACCATTTTACTTAAATTAGAGGTTAGTAATTGATTTAAAAAAAAAAAAGTGAATTTATCTTTAATTGCAACAGGCTGGTGTCACTGGATTTTGTATGGGGGGTGCTCTCGCCATTGCAAGCTCAGTCTTGGTTCCAGATGTTGATGCTGTTGTAGCTTTCTATGGAGTTCCTTCTTCTGAGCTTGCAGACCCTGCCAAAGCCAAGGCTCCCGTTCAGGCCCACTTTGGAGAGCTGGATAATTTTGTTGGCTTTTCAGATGTTACGGTATGATAATATGTTTCTGATACTCATTGCTGACCTCTTTTAAGCTGGCTTTTTCCCAATTGAATATCACTGTTTTCTTCTGCTTCTTTTTGTGTGGAGGTGGGGTTTCCTACCTTCTAAAGCATACATGTAGTTTCTTTTGGTGAGGATCAATATGCAGAGGGACTCTTGATCTTACACAGATGTTCTTAATATAAAACTTAATGATGGATGGTTTTAAATGAAAAGTGAAAATTATGATCTGCTTTCTGGTTAATGATGGATGGTTTCCTACCATTTAATTTATCGATACTTAGTGACCCATCTACCAATTTTTCATAATCCATTAGATTAGATATGGTATGTTTATTAGATTGAGATTTTAAGAGATTATATTGACATTAAAAAAAGTGTGGATTTTAAATGACTATATAATAATGTAATGACTAATAAAGAAAAGAGAGAAAAATAAAATATTTTAAAAATAAAAATTATTTAATTTTTAAAACCTTACTTTTATTGATGGATTGGATATTCATCCATGAAAAAATTATTAATGAATGGATTAGATGATTTTTTTTGCTTTAAATAAATTAGATGAATTGAATTTTTATGTGAATTTTTAATCAATTTAAATGGATCAATGAATTATTTTTATTCAATTCATTATGATCTGTCTAAAAAATTATCCACTCCATCCATTTGCCACTCCTATTTTAAATCTAACAAACCAGCTTTTGATGTCTCCTAGTGAAATAGTGGAGGGCTAAATATGAGAAATCAATATCATTCTATTTTTTCATACATTTGTCCATTGTTTATATTTCATCTTTCAAATATATTTCTTACTTTCATCTGTACCAACTCATCAACATTAGTACAAGATGCAAAATTAAATTTCAGTCATGCACATTCCTTTTCTTTAACAAGCTTCAACAAGTTAAGATTATTACCTTTTTATCCTTTTCATTTTCATTCTTCTCTCTATTTTTCCATTTTTCTATTATTCACCTTCTTTACCAAGCAAAGCATATTAATCATCTTATTTTTCACTTTTCTTAACCAAGCAAAGCATAAAGTTGAGAAAGTACAAAACTATGAAGTCTACTGGCCATGAATTTTCCCACCTTATGAGTCTAGAACTTTACCTTGTAAAGAAACAAAACCTAATAGGTTCTAACCTTCCTGTCATTCCCATGCTGCCAATACACAAGATGTAAAATGCTATAAATGTTAAAATTTGGTTACTTTGATAATAGCTAATCCCTTAACTATTAAGTTTTATATGCAACCTCTAGTTGTACATTTTCAGGCCTTTTTCGCCATTTAATTGCTACCACAGTTCCATAATTCGTTTGGAAATAGGAACGGGGAGAGGGAGGGAACACTTGTAGATGTTCTGAATCCCAAATTCTTTAATTCAAGCAATATTTATATCATGTTTGGACATTGTTTGATGTCTCAGGCCACGAAGGCCTTGGAGGAGAAGCTGAAGGTATCTGGTGTTCCACATGAGGTACACATATATCCTGGCAATGCACATGCATTCATGAACAGATCCCCAGAAGGAATCCAGAGGAGGAAGAGCATGGGAATGCCTGATGAAGACGAAGCTGCGGTTCACCTTGCCTGGTCTCGCTTCCAGTCATGGATGACACATTACTTAACTGCCTAAATGGTATGATATGCTTCTATATTCTTAGGTAGTAATTTAGTGTAACACATAATGGCCCCATAAACTCTAAATATGGTGCTTGTTACCTTAGGGTGGATACACCCTTGGGAAATTTCACTAATAATTTTGAAATGGTCCAAGTTTGTCTAGACTATAGTAATAAGTAAATATGGTCTTTGTTTATTGGTGTCACTTCTTTCTATTCTATGGTCTCGTTTTTGTCTAGCTTTAACGCGTGCAAGAACCGACCGTTTTGATGAAATAACAATTGAATCAAAGCTGGTGATCCTTTGAGTGTTGGACAGGTTTCAACAGTTGGGACACCATTTAAGTATTGCTTATTTCAACAAATCATCGGATTTATGATTCCATCCATACTTGTGTCCTTTTTTAAACAATTTTTTTGGCTAGCAATTTAATTTGGTTTAGCTATTTTTATCAATCCTTGTGCCTAATCTTGTGGTAGAGAGAGAAGAAACGACATCAAAATCAAAGTCATAATGTGGATGGATAGCTTGTGGATACGTTTGAGTTTCGTGTAATATGCTACGTCCACACTTTGACATTATACAAAACAACGTTGGTTTTCACTCTTATCCCGCAAATAGGGAGTTATTTGTTTAAGCTGACTAATGGTGACTACTACTTATAAACCTTGGTTTAATTTGAATTTACATTATAATATTATCTTAAGAGATAATCCAATCAGTGTATGAATCGAATAGTTCAACGTGCAAATTAGCCACGGCCCACGGGGTTTGTTCATGATCTAATGCAAAGAGCTTATCCTGGGTCCACCTTTGATTTATTTGTCATAAGATGGTTCAGCATGACGCGACGTAACTTTTCACAACCAATTATTTCGGCTTCTCCGACAGCTTTGGAAACCAAAGTTGAAGTCAAATTTGATTATTATGCTGATATGTTAATTGCACTTGGAAGAAAATGTTGGCACTTTTGTGGGTACTCTAGCTTTTTGTGGTGCCTGTGTGAGAGTGTGAACGCATTGCTAGTGCCATGGACATGGTGAGGACGAGTTGAAGACTTTGATTAGAAGGAAAGGATCACGTGAGGAAAGACTAATATAAAATAGAACTTAAAACAGCTACAATTCGACCAATCTCTTTATGCATAATAATGACAAATTGATCATTTTGAATTCAATTTTGGATATATTGTGTTAATAACATACTATAAACGTTGAGGATAAATCAAGTCTAGACCATTATTTACTTATTTCAATGATAAATAAATATACTTTGTAAAATGGAGTGGACATTATCCATTTTCTTTGAACTACATAGCCAAAGCACATGGTTTTTTTGGCTACGCGTCTATAACCTCGCTCTCAAGAAATTAGAGGGACTATAAGAGGAAAACACGAGGCAAAAGCTAGTATCACTTTCAGATAGGTTGGCAAAATATTATGAGCTTCACTTTCTTTCCGTGATGTAAGACTCGAACAAGTAAAACCGACCAATACATCATAATCAAAATAAAAAAATAAAAATAAAAAATAGCTGGCTAGATTTGGCAACATAAACTCATATTCTATTTATAATAAGCCAAAAGGAGTCATAAAAAGTTGCATTGATTCTTAATACAATTCAGTTGGAGAATTGTTATAAATTCATAGTGTATGAGATAATTGTTTGTAAATCTATTATTGCGTAGTACGTACTATATTTAGATTTATACTATTTACTTGGAAATATTTCAAAAGAAGAACACGATGTTGGATTGTTGTTGCCTTGTTGGTGACCACGTAGCCTTGGATGAAAGCATCAACCGTGGCAACAAAGCACCTAAGTCCTACAAAGACATGTTACTAAAGCCTATAGGTAGCAATCAAGATGATCTTGCCACTAGGATTCTGGTGGGAGAAGTGAATTAAAAACCTTAGATTATAAGTTTGGGAAAAAAAAGAGTCAAAGTTTTACTCAAGTTTTTATTTAAGAAAATGAAAGAAAACTCGTTTTTATTTTCAGCAAAAAGTGAAGCACAAAGTTAGAAAACTCGTTGAAAATGCTTTAGAAACTAAAATTTGAGTTTAGGTTTTAATCATTCGTTGGGAAAGTATTAATATCTTAAAATATTTAATTAATAATTAAAAATCATTAAGTATATTATTAATAAATTGAAATATTTATTTTCACTTTAATACATAATTATTTATAACTTTTAAGTAAATTGTTACCTTATCTACTTGATTGAGTATGTTGACTAAGTATTATAAATCTTTTGGTATTAATTTTGGTTCTTATAAATAAAAAATATTATATTATCCTTCGCCATCTCTTTAAAATTAATATGTGATATATTATGATATTTTATTTTTTATTTGTGAGAATCAAACACATTATAAAAAATTTTACAAAAATTCATGTAATTTGCTGGATCAACGAAGTTAGACCTATTTTATTTTAACATATTTTAATCTATTTTAGCATAAATGAATTAGTAATTGTGAATATCTATGAACGAACCTTCTAAGAATATTTTCTATTTTTGCTCAACTTTGAAAGTCACCGGTAAGCAGTTTTGAACATTATAATTATTGATTTTCTATCTATAATAAATGAAATGATGGTTTGATTACTCAAAGTTCAAAGCTTATTATAAGAATTCAAAATTAATTTTTAACATCAAAATAGACTACTGTATAAAAAACATCAAAATAGACTAAACTATAACATATACTAATTTTTTAAGTTAAGAAATATAGTTTCTAAAATTAAAAAAAATCAATAATGCAATTTACTCTTTTCACGAAGAAAAAGAGAAAAATAAATGGAGAATCCAAAATCAAATAACAATCATATATCAACATCCTTAAACAAACTTTCATTTAACACATTTTATTTCTCCTTTTTTTTATTACTTCATATCAACTTCTATATTTATACTTCTTTTTTTTTATTTTATATTTTTCTCTCCAAATTTCAAATAGCAAATAATACTCAAGTAAGCAACATTGTTGAAAATCAAATGATTATAAAATTAATTAAAATTATTATTTTTTACATACATTTTGAAGAAATCCCTTAACATCAAACTTAAAATACCTCTCACAAGTGTTTGTCAAACTTCAATATAACAAATAAAAATCTTAGATTAAGTTAGATATTATTAAATTATGACTAAAGACTAAATAAATAATATTATTTGTGAATTATTTTCAAGAAGTCATGGGAAGTTGTTCCGGATCTATTATTTGAATATATATATAAAATAAATTGAATGAAATGTGGCATCTAGTGTGTATGTATCGAAGTGAAGGTTAGAAAGATGCAGGGACCCACAGAAAGTGGTGAGCATGTGGGCCCCACTAGAAGTGTTGACTGAGTCTGCACTTTTCACGAGTTTGAGGCGCCGGACCAATAGGGCTTCTCAATTTTGGGAACGCGTCAATCTCCTCTTCCTTTGCTCTTTCTCCTTCCTTCCTCTTCCTGCCTTCATTTACACCATCAAAACAACACCATCGCATTTCTCACGGAATCTTCCAATTTCTTAAGCAAATTCAATTTTTCTTTAGACGCCTACCCATATTAATTTCCACAATTTTTTTCCCATCTCATTGGTCGCAATTCTTGAATATCGTTTGGTCAACCAACTTAATTTCCGGGACTTAACCCTAAATTTCTTTCCAACTTATTAAATCTTGTAATTATTTTATACGATAACTAAGGGTATGGGTACCCAGTCTCCCCTATGTTGTTGTTAGGCTTGGGAAAGCAATATCATCCCTGCTTTTCAAACCTATATTCATGGGAGTTATAAAATATATAATTATAATTATTATTAATTAAATACATTTTTATTCTCATGAATTTTCTTACGTGTTACCCCCTTTGCGCAAACGGTTAACAATAATCTCGCTTCTTAAATTTGTCTATTTTTACATTAACAGTTTTCGTACTTATCTTCTCACTAAAAAAATTCCATTCATTATTCATTAGAAAGTAATATTCAGCTAAGAAATGAAATGAAAATATTACATATATACACGTACGCAAGGTTAAAACAACTAAGAATATATTTTTTCATGACAAGTATATATTTGTCCACATGTGAATGTAAAAGTGAAATGTAATAATACTTGAACGTTCAAAGGTAAGAGAGACAACAACAACAGTTCTGGTCATCTTCTCAAGTCTCAGCTGTCCCATTTTATTGCCGAGTCCATTGCATCGTTTATAAAGACTTCGCAGACTTCTCTCTCTTCAGTCTCTGTTGGAATTTATGGTTAGAGGTGGTGGACTCTCCATGGATTCAGATCCAATTGGGAGCTTCTTCCTCCACAATAAGCCAATTGTTCTCAACTCTTTCCCTACAGAAGACACAAACCACCCCAAGTGGAAACTTAGTAATAACATGGACGCCACCAAACCCTCTTCTTCACCCTTCCAAGTCAACCTTAGCTCTTCCTCAAACAACCATGCCTCCAATTCTCCTCCTTCTCACAACCACATGAGAACCGAGATGGACTTCTTCTCCGACAAAAACATCCTCAAAGATGACAACGTTCTCGCTTCTGCTTCTGTACCTGACAATGATCATCATCGTTCCACCACTCCACCGACGTTGGAATTCAAAGTAAACGTGAGTGATCGACCCGTTATATCATATTTTCAATATTATATATTATATTATAACTATAAAAACTTAGATACAGATATTTGCGTGTTTTTGACGTTATTCTTCGACCAGAATTAGTGTTTTATTTCGATAATTTATGTTTATTTGTGTTAACATTTAATGCGAATGTTTGATACCCATGAAATTTCAATTCTGATTAAAAAGTATTTCCTTTTATTATATGGTTTATGGTTCTAAAATTGAGCTCGATCAGTTTTTGTATGATCATCTCATCATCATGTTGGTGTGCTAATGAATCTGTAATTGTTTTTTAATAGACTGGTCTGAATCTTCTTACTACCAACACTAGCAGCGATCAATCTATGGTGGATGATGAGATATCACCGAATTCAGAAGACAAAAGAACTAAGAATGAGGTAAATATATGTATTTTTAATTAACAGGTAGTTTTATTTAATGAGATTACATGTCACTGGGTGCTTCACCTTTTCATTTTGGGGGGGTCTTTTAAAATTGAGCATTTGTCATGAACTTTTTTCAGCTGGCTGTTCTTCAAGCTGAGCTTGAAAGAATGAAGAGGGAGAATCAAAAGCTGAGGGACATGCTTGATCAGGTTAACGCGGATTACAATGCACTTCAGATTCATTTTATGGATTTGATGCAGCAGCAGAAGGCTGAGGAAGTTGGAGAACAAGAAGTGTTTGGTGGAAAGCTAGAAGAGAAGAAGCAAGGTGAGAGTGGTGGAGTATTGGTGCCAAGGCAGTTTATGGATCTTGGGTTGGCTACTAATGCTGACACTGATGAGCCTTCGTCTTCATCAGGGGGAAGAAGTCAAGATAGATCAGGATCATCTGGGAATAACAACATAGAAGTGGCTTCCAAGGAATTAGGGACTAGTAAGAATGATGAAGGAGTTGTGTATGAACAAGAGAAGAAGGAATATGGTAGAGTGAATGAAAGAGAGGATAGTCCCTCAGGTCATGCTTTTGCTGGTGATAATAAAATTCCAAGGCTCAGTCCTCCAAAGAATAATAATAATGTTGATCAGGCTGAGGCTACCATGAGGAAGGCAAGAGTTTCTGTTAGAGCTCGATCTGAGGCACCCATGGTACGTATAAGAGTTCATGTTCTTCAATTTTGGGAAACTGTTCATAGTAAATTGTTGTTCATTTTAGCTGATAGAGAAGTTTTTAATTGTCTCAGATCACTGATGGGTGCCAGTGGAGAAAGTATGGGCAGAAGATGGCCAAAGGAAACCCATGTCCTAGAGCTTATTATAGGTGTACTATGGCTGCTGGTTGTCCAGTTAGAAAACAGGTATATATATTTATGTGATGTCCTCTTTAAAGCTTGATTAATCTCCTTATTTAAAGCAAAAATGATGATTTCACATTTCTGAATACACTTTGGATGAAAAATATATATAGAAAAGGAAGAGAAAGTTAAGGAAAGATGTAACACGAGTTGTAAAATTGGGGAGTGAACAAATCAAAATTTGATTCTAATTAAATAGGTTGTATTATTAGTCACTACCTTTATTATTAGTCATTAGACTCGTTATTACCTTTATGTATTGCAAGATAAGTTTGCATTACCAAAACATAGTAATAATTATGATGATTTTGAGATTCATTTAATGTTGGATGAGAGTACAAAACCCTATTAAATTGAAGAAAAATGGTAGGGTTAAAAAACAAGTGGTTTTTCTAATCCAATATTTGGCACTTAAATTCCACAGGTGCAAAGGTGTGCTGAAGATAGAACAGTCCTTATCACAACCTATGAAGGCAACCACAACCACCCTTTGCCTCCAGCAGCTATGGCAATGGCACAGACCACTTCCTCAGCAGCAAGAATGCTGCTTTCAGGGTCAATGTCAAGTGCTGACAGCCTAATGAATGCAAACTTCCTCACAAGGACACTCCTTCCTTGCTCTTCAAGCATGGCTACTATCTCAGCATCTGCTCCATTTCCAACTGTCACATTGGACCTAACTCAATCTCCAAACCCTCTACAGTTCCCAAGGCATCCAAACCAGCTTCAAATTCCCCTCCAAGGCCTCCCTCAGAATTTTGCAAGCTCCTCAGCATCTTTAATGCCTCAGATATTTGGACAAGCCCTTTACAACCAATCAAAGTTTTCTGGTCTTCAAATGTCACATGATGCAGACCCTTCACAGTTTGGTGGCCACTCTCAGCAGGTTCCACCACACCTTGCTGACACAGTTGGTGCTGCCATTGCTGCTGACCCAAACTTCACTGCAGCTTTGGCAGCTGCTATCACTTCCATTATTGGTGGTGCTCAGCAACAACACAACAGTAATAATAATAATAATAATAATAACAATAATGTCAACATGACAGCAAGCAACAACAATGGCAATGGCAACATCTCAAGTAGTAGCAACAACAACACCAATGCAAGGCAATAAAATCAGCAATTCCAACAGTTCTCCGAGGGAATTAGTTGCCTTTCTATTTTTTACGAAATTAATTTGATTAAATTAAGTTGATTTTATGTCTTTTTTCTTAATTAATTTGTTCATTTGCTTTTGAATCTTGGGATTCAGGAAAGTTTTACTATTTGACATAGACAATTTTTTATTTGGTTATAGACTTAATATATATCAGCTGTTATCCCTCAGTAGTTCGCTGAAAACTGTATACAAAAACAACGAAAAATTTACACATAAAAGAAATCACTTTTTTGTTTCCTCATTTTTTTATGTGGATATATGCAAATGTATGTCCTTATTCCTTTGTAATTTTTCTCGTGGTTGAAGCTACTTTATCTTGTTGCGAAAGAAAAATTGGGATGACAAAAGAAGAGATCTTTGTAGTAGTTGCGGGTAACAAATGGCACTATATAACAAGGAAAAGAATTCAAGAAAATCGTCTGAGAGTGGTTGAAGAGGATGTCACTCCTTGGACGCGTAATTAAGGATATTTTATGGTGAGATCACTAGTCAAACAGCTATGTGAACACAGTTTCACTAGCTATAACGTTAAAAAGTTGACAACATATATTTTTTTTCATCTATACTGTTCACACAATATTTTAAAATTAATTTATATTTGCATAAAGATTAAAATATTATTTTAACATTAATTATAAGACATGGATCTGTTGACATCATATATAATTCGGACATGATTTTATCTTTTATTTATTTTTATTCCTAGATCTCAAAAATACAGCTCAAAATCAAATGGAATAGCATTTTGTTGTTCAATTTTGACGCTAAAAATCATTTTCCATGTGAATACATGGCTGTATATTTACTATATCCCGTCCAACATACATAACTTGGGTTTTCCCATTAATCATTCATCCACAAAAGATGATAAAGCAAAGATCATATTAATCTTTTGTCAAGTCCAAACTTTGAATAGACAAGAAATGTTGACTAATATACTACGTAATCTTCTTCTCAAACCTTCTGCAGGAGACGAATGCATGTGAGAGAGAGTGAAATTTAATGCCCAAAGCCCGTGTTTACCAATATTTGTTTTATCTTATGCAAAAAGTATTTGTGGATAAAGAAAATTAAAATGTGAAGGTGCATGAGGGGTATATAGTATACGTTAGAGAGCTACTATACTAAACCTAACATGGTAGTAAGACCTAAAGAGATGCCTCCAATTTTATCAACATCAACATATATAGTGCTTTTGATCAAGCTATTAATTAGATTACTATTCATCGAAGCTTTTTTGTCGTTGTGTACTACACGCCAAAGCCTAACATTACCGAATCCACTATAGTATTCGAGAATGGTAGCTAGATTGTGTGCAATGCTTTTGCTGTAACTGGTGATAGTAAAGTCTTGATGGGTTGGTTGTGACTTGTGGGATTCATCATTTATTTGTTGCATGCCTTCACTGGCAAATTGAAAGCTCAAGTAAGCAATAGGCTATGATTTTTGCAATGCTCAGGCTAATTGACCATTCCCATGCTTCTGACTCGTGTTGCTACGCAGCATCAAAAGTAAGCATGACCTTTTTCTTCAAAATTCTGTGCCATCATGAGCAAAGATTATAATTCACTACAGCACGAGCCCTTTGTGATCGTTCAATTCAATGTTTGATTTATCATGCTACTATATACATGCATATATCTACTTTGACTTGAATAAGTTAATCATTGAATTTGATTGGTAAACTCTCATTTGGATGGTATGGATGATTATTTAACGTTAGCTTTTGTGATTGCGTGTAGTAAATTTTCTCGTTACCGTTTTTAGGTTTTACACGTCGTTTTATATTTATATGATATGATTCTCTATGTTTAGTTTTCGAAGGTTGATTTTTATGTAGGCAAGAGCCAATAGGCCTTTTTGTTGATGATCTTTTAACAAAAACCAAAACCATATTTTATATCAAAATGTTAATATTAAGATCATGTAGTAAAAGAATTGTCAAAAATTATAATCATACATTCACTTACTCTTCCACCTCACTTCCATCTCTTTTTTTTTTCTCTATCTCTATTTTTTTTTAACATCTCACTTTTTTACTACATTTCTTATATATTAAACATTCATAAAGAATAACTCTCCTTTCTTATATATTGAACAATTCTTCACTTTAACTTGAATTTTTCCAAATCTCAAGTCATTAAGAACCAAGAACAATTTTCTTGTCAACACATCTTGGAATCTCAAGATATGCAAACATTCACCAAGTCAACATAAACATTTTTATCCGTAAAGTCTTAATCAACATATTTGTTTGTTTGTACGTCTATGAAGAATAATTTTTCTTCAATCACGTATTAAATGAATTCAGTCTAACATCAATATGCTTTTATATGATATATAAGATTCTTGGTAAACTCAATGCACTAAAACTATCATAATAACAATAATAGATTTATGCACATACAAACTCAAACTATCAATAAGATCGTGTACCTTAATCAATGCATTTATTTTGCATTTGTGGTGGACGAAGCAATTGTAGGTTAAAACTTGAAATGTTGTCTTGTAACTAATGTTGCCAATGATCTTCTCGGTAATACCCTTAGCAAAGAAGGTTCCAGTATCATGAAACGTTTAAAAAATAAATAAAACAATTAAAAATTTTCACAAATACGTTTGCCTCTCAAGTAATACATAATATATATAAAAAAAACAAAAATATTCATCGAATAAAACGTGTGAGAAACTTTTAGTGGGCAAATCTTTATGTTTTGAAACGAAAACTTGGTTTGAATTTTGCCTCTCAATTTTGGGCTTACATTTCTGACAAAAGTAAACAACAAATACTCAATTCACCAGGTCCAAAACAAGCCAGCGATGCCACAATAAAACAAACAAAAAGTCGTGATTTTTTTTTAAAAAAACTATCCTTGTTTTTGGATTTACATTTCAACGTTAATAAATGTTTAAATATAAGATGTATAAAAAAAGTGTTGAAAATAAAGTTAATGAATGTGTGTGGAAATGTAAATAATAAATGTATAAGTAAATCCATCAATTCTATCGGCCCAATTATCATATGTGGAGCACAAGCCCATCTATCTCATACAAGTGTTTATATAAGCTCGAATTTTTTTATTAGTATCAGGAGGGGAAAAAAATTATACCCATAAATACTCACAGAAAAAAATCACTATAATCGATAGATTAAAAATAAATAATTAAATAAGTATTCATTTAATAATGAGATGAAATCAAGTAATAAGATATTATACTTGTAAGTACTTGCACTTAGGAATTACTAAAAATACTTTTAATAATATATAAAATAATTTGGTCTGATTTATTTTTTTCTATAAATGTATGCCATAATTATTTTTTATGACCATGAAAATAATTTTATGAAAATAATTCACTATAATCTATAAAATAATGGTGACCCCAAAAGTCACCATGAAAATTTGTGACCGAGTGTAAGACATTTTATGTCATTTGGACTATGAATTGGTTTTAGATAAAGGTGGAAAAATGGATTACTTAACCCAAAACTTTAATGTAGATTGTGAACTCTAGCAAACTAGGCTAAAAAGGTTAGGATTTTAGTGAGTTCTTGCAAGTTTGAATCAAGTCAAGATCAAATTGGGTTTGAATAGTTTACATTTTATTGGAACTTAAAATTTAAAAGTTGAATCTCTCCATTTTATCAAACAATTTGAGTCTAATTGGTTAGTTGAATCCGTTTTGCCAACTATAGATATAGACCAATTAAAGTTATATACAATGTATAAAAATAATAAACTTTTATGAACCAATAACACTTTATATAAGCTAAAATATTATTAGTTTAGTCGCATTACATCCCACAATTTACATTATTATTATTATTATTATTATTATTATTATTATTATTATTATTATTATTATTATTATTATTCACGAATACGCTTTGCATGTGCATAATTGTTTTATGATTGCTCTAAAAATTATTTTTAACCTGCTTTTATATTTTATCTTATATTATAGATTAGTGTGTTTTTGCGACCCAAAAAAACTAAACAATATTTTTGAAATGGATAAAGTAGCATATCCAACATTTCATGAAATCAAATTCTAGAAATCGTTTATAAGTATTTCATGAAATCTAATTCTAGAAATCGTTTATAAAATCAAATTTGATGTTACATTGGAAAAATAATTCAAAATTTTCAATTTTAGATCTTGTTTAGATTTTAAAAAAATATTATTTTATCATTATAATGTTGTTTAAAATTAAATATATATTTATTTTATAAATTTATTTCCTCTTATAATGTTAGGATTCTAAATAAATAAATAAAGACTCTTAAGATCAAAATGAAAACTAATGATTACTATCCTAAATGAAAAATGAAGGTCATATAAGATGTTATCGTAGATATAGGCATGAGGGACTCAAGTACATTAAATAAATTTGAGAAAATGAATATTCATTGAGAAATTATTGTTAATGTAGACATGACGAGCTAAACCACGTTAAATAAATTTTTTTGGTCTTTCTCAATTTTTTTTATAGTTTTGTTTTTCTATTATCTCATTAATGTGTGTAAAAAGAAGTTTTGTTATCAACAATAGTATTAAAGTTGATGGTTTGTACCGCCAAATGATCTATCACACAAGGATTGAAACTTAATGAAGCTAACGTAAGATCCTTATTTCCAAAGTTTTCTTAGTGTTGTGGAAGTCAAGTAGCGTGTTCTATTGACGATAACTAACAACAATATAAGTTCATCCAATATATTTAGAGATGACAACGAAGTGGGACAAGGGGTAGGTAATAACTCCCCGTCACTTGTCCCATTTAGTGCATGTATTCATTTAGTAAGTATTCATGAAATTTTTATATATTTGCAAGTATTCACGAGTATTTGTAGATATTTGAAAAATATACAATTTTTAAATAAAAAGATAAGAAATAAAATAATGTTAAAACATATATTTATATTAAAAATAATTTTGTAACATATATTTATACTAAAATAAATAATTATGACACATATATATAATGTAAAAATAAATTTAACTAAAATATTTTACACATAATTAAGAGTATTTTTAATATTTTTAAAATGTACATCTACCAACCTTATTATTTGTCCTTGTCTAATTATTAAGCGAATATTCATTTAATTGTCTATTTAAAATTCATTGCGAATTTTATTTGTAGGTAGGAATTTTTTGTTATCGCTAAATATACTCATGAAGTGTAACCAAGGAAGGAACACTAAAAAGTTTGAAATATACTCATACATGATAACACAAGTTGAAGACAAAATTTGAAAATTTTAATTAAAGAAAAAATTATTAGGAAAATAATTTAAAATTTCAATTTTAGATCTTTAAGATATTGTTTATATTTAAAAATATATTATATTATCATTAGGATATTATTTAGAATTAAAAAATATCATGATTTTAAGAATCAATTTCTTCTTATAATATTAGGATGTTGAATCCATAAACAGAAACGAAATTAGGATGAAATGGTCGAAGGATGCAATTTTAAAAATTAAAATATATTTAAAAAATGTATAAAAGTTAAATTTTATTTTAAATAATTATATTTATGTGTTTTTAACATAAATTAAAAATATATTTATAAGCATCCATTTTTTTTATAAAAAAAAGATTATAAATGATAATTGTAAGTTTCTCATGTCAATAATAAGTTTTATAAATTTATTATAAAAATTGATAGATACGTTACTAACAAATTTTTACAAAGAGGTTCTATTGATTATGTTATGAAAAGTTGTTGAACAAAAATATATTACATCACTATCTAGTTTAACTTTTACAACAATAGTAACCGATAATCATTGACAATAAAAAAAATTTCACTTGATGTATGTCATTCCTATTAATAAGTATGCACTCTCAAGACTAAAAGAAATACTAAATTCGTAGAGAGAAGTTAGATCATGGTAAATAAATTTTAAATAATAAATATTTATTGAGATGTTATGGTAACTATATATATGAAAACAAATTAGGTTAAATAAAATTGTGTTATATCAAATTTTGTTATGATTTTCTTTTTGTTGTTTCAGCATATAATTAAAGATGAGTTTTCGTTATCATATAAACATTTTATGAAATGTAATTGTAGAAACCGTGAGTGTTACTGCTGAACTAATAATAAATAAAAAATTAGAAGAAGAAAAGATATAGTTCCAGTTCCACATCCTCCCTGGTTTACAAAATGTGCTGATTATGATCTTAATTCGCACGTGTTGTATTGATTTCGTGAGAATGGGACCCACATTGCAAAGAAGTGAGGATGAAAAAAGAGGACCACGTGAGTTGCGTGTGATGAAAGCCTCTCTTGAATTAAGAATCCACACCTTGCTCCAACCAACTTATCTAACTCTGAATTGGGTTGCACAACTAGAAAACACAAATCACAATTCAACTTCCCTTGTGCTTTTGCTGCGCAATATATCACACATGTCATAAATGTTTTCTCTTCCAAATTCCAATTCATACTCCAACCCTCCCTTCTTTTCTTTGCTACTCCTCACTCACAAAATTCATCAACACTTTAAATACCACCTTTCTCTAACTTACATTTCACACAATCAAGTCACCAAACCCCTTTTTATTATTATAAAATATAAGCTCCTTCATTCAATGTGTTTTATAGAGCATTCAGTTGGGTATGTTTGGCATGTTAATAATCTTTACTCTCCACATCTCTTGTATGCATGAATATGTGTGTGTGTGTGAGTGAATGAGTGTTACACAAAAAGATAACGTTTATTTCACGCCTAAGATTTTGGGCATCTATGTGTAATGTTGTATCAAGGGATGAAAACAATCACACGTTAGGTTAAAGGGTGTTAATCAATGTCAAAAGAACACTCACATTCGAATGATTTTGAATTGTTTCATTCATTTCTAATTTTAAATTTTTTTTTTTCCATGCTTCGATTATTGTATGTATTATTATAATAGAATTTACAACCATCCCATCATATCGTGTGACACTCGATACTTCATTTTTGTGCTTATGAAAATCATTATTATCTTTATTTGGTTAAGTTTATCATGATTAGTTGATTACTTTACTTAGGGGTAATAGTACCCGTTCATAAGGGTTTTTTTTTTTTATTTTTTAGATGATTTTATGACTGTCTTTGTCGAGCTTCTAGAAGAAGGGATGAACTAATGTGTATGACATTGGGTGCACTTTGGGTGAAACTAAGTTGTCCCAATAAGGCAGTAACAAAGTTTCAAAGTTTTCTATAAAAGGACTTCTCGAATTGAGGTATACGTGGCATCTTTTATTTATAAATTAGTTTCATAATTGAATCAGCAAATTGGTCTTAGTTTCACACATGAAAAATAAAATATAGTCAGAAAAGGAAATCTTTTGTTCACAATTTTCAGAACAAAAAAAAATTATTATTATTATTATTATTATTATTATTATTATTATTATTATTATTATTTAATTAGATAAATAAAGATTGATTTTAACAAAGTTAAGCTCTTTTACTTTAAAAACGCTTCACATTTGGAGAGAGTTTTAATGATAGTTTTTTATCTGATTCAGATATAACTGTCTTCAATATAAGATATACATGATCTGTAAAAATTATAAAAAAAAATCTTTACAATAAGTTTTATAATTTAAAAAATACTTTTAATAAAAAATATTTTTCTCTTCTCATAATAATAAGTATCGTGTAAAAAAAAACATTGTATTCAAATATATGTTGAAATCACGATCAATTTGAATGCAACAAAATTTTCATTCGCATTTGGTGTCTTATAGGATGCATAAGTATCTTTTTTATGGCACAAGATTACAAGTATTTTTTATAGTAGAAAATTTTGATCCAACCCGCTAGGACTACAACAACTATAAACATCAAAGTTCTTTTGAATATTTATCATAACATATTTTTTAAGATTCAAATTCAATATAATTAGTTAAATTTAAATAACTTTGCATTAGTTTGTCCACATATTATAAATACTTATTAATATTTTATAAATGTCTGTTTCCATCACAAAAAAAAAAAAAAAAACTGTTAAGATATGAATGGTGTACTAACCAAACTAACGCATACTTATTTGTCAACCTTTGAACAAGTCGGTTATAATTACTAAAAACCACCCTAAGTTTGATAGTTACAAAACTTGAAGGAATGCAAAGAAAACTGGTGAAAACTAAAAATGAACTGTTAACAAAAGTTTATATATATATATATATATATATATATACACACACAAAAGAGAACTAACTTCATCATTAGTCTTTTTTTATATGTAATCAACCATTTTTCCTTATTTTTGTAAGAACAAGTGGGATGACCTTATTATATAGTTGAAGCATTTAGAAGTGGGTTTTGTTGCTTTGCATATTTAACCGGCTTTTATGTAAGTTAATTGGTGGTTAATTAAAGTATACAAATATATTGTTATTATATATCAATCTTGTGTTATAATTAAATTTAAAATCATTTGATAATAGTTAGCATACTTGCTCATAATAATAATAATAATAATAATAATAATATATGAAAGTTCATACATATTTTTTATGGGAAATTAGTGGAATCACTCATGACACGACGACGGTCATCCCAAATAAATATCTTATAAAAGGGCAAAACAAGGAATTTTTCTCTTTTTGTTTTTGACTGCTATGAAAAACAACTGTGCACTAGTTGACTTGTACTCTTCCTCACCATATACGACTTGTAATTTGTCAAGGCCACACATTCACACTACAACTAGAATAAAATTCAACCCTCTACCACAAAACTAACTCCAAATAATATACCAAACTTTCAATCGTTTGGGTTGTTCAACACTTCAACCCACCCAACTTGGCACACGCACTCCCACATTAAATTTTCAAAGTTCGATGCAAAAGAAGGAATCTACCCTTGATTCCCACCCCATCTACCTCATCCAAACTCTTCACCCCCTTTAATTTGCACCAACATTAAAGCCTTTCCCAAATTGCACACACTTAACCTTCAATCATAATTAAAACCCATTTCCATTCTCACGTGTAAACCATCTAGCCTTTGCCGACGAAGAACCTGTGCCATCAAAATTTGGCCACGTTGACAACTCAAGAGAGAGAATAATAAAAGATAGAGAGTGAGCGCCAACCAAATTAAGTAGCCAACCAATAAAAACAACCTTTCAGACAACACAACCCATCAAAACCTTATGCTCAAAAGTGTCTATATCTATTCAATTAAACATATAAAAGGCCACAACATCCAACTCACAACTCTCCACAAAACCCCTTAACTTTTTTTTTTCCTCTTCACAAATATGGAGTGGCAAAGAGGCCACACCATAGGCCATGGCTCATCCGCCACCGTCTACACCGCCACATGCCACGGCGTTGTCTTCGCCGTGAAGTCGTCGGAGCTGTCACAATCAGAGCCTCTACAAAAGGAGCAAAAAATTTTATCCTCTCTAAGTAGTCCTTATGTGGTTACATACAAAGGGTGTGACATTACCATGGAGAACAACAAGCCCTTTTTCAATCTCTTCATGGAGTACATGCCCTTTGGTACCCTTGCACATACTTCTCGTAATCACGGTGACCGACCTGAAGAGCCGGCCATCGCATGTTATACGAGACAAATTGTGCAAGGGCTAGAGTACTTGCATTCAAGAGGGTTGGTGCATTGTGACATCAAGGGTTCCAACATCTTAATTGGTGAAGGTGGAGCCAAAATTGGTGACTTTGGATGTGCCAAGAGGGTGGCGGACGAGGCAGCGGCGATCAGCGGCACGCCGATGTTCATGGCGCCGGAGGTGGCGCGTGGGGAGGATCAAGGGTGTGCTAGTGACATTTGGTCACTTGGGTGCACTTTGATTGAAATGGCCACTGGTGGTGCACCATGGCCTAATGTGGCAGACCCTTTTTCTGTGCTTTATCATATTTCATATTCTAGTGAAGTGCCTCCAATTCCTTCTTTTCTGTCCCATGAAGCAAGGGATTTCTTGGGGAAGTGCTTGAGGAGGAATCCACAAGAGAGGTGGACGGCTAGTGAACTCTTGAAGCATCCATTTCTTGGGGAATTATGTTTCAATAAGGAAGTTTTGGGGTCTAATTCTTCAAGTTCCCCGACTAGTGTTCTTGAGCAAGGCTTTTGGAGTTGTGTGGAAGAATCAGAAAGTTTTGGCAATTTGGTTCACAACACAAGTAGTTTTGAAATTTCGGCTTGTGGGAGGGTCAGAATGCTGGCTCTCTGTTCAGGGGTGCCCTGTTGGGCACGACATGGTGATGATGATGATGAGAATTGGATCACAACCAGAGAAAATCCAACAGAAAATTAGTAGTTTTGGACTGCAATTTTAACTAGTTTTTATATGACATGTAATTAAAGATTATTAATTTTTTTTGTAAATTAACATGTCATATAAAAATCCACGGATATCATAAATATTTGATATTAATAATTTCTACAATTAGAGGAGGGATTGGAGTTGAAGGTTTGGGCAATTGTGGGGCAGGGACAGCTTCTGATAGTCATGGTGTGTCTCAGCAGGAGTTGGTGAAAAGCAATATCAGTGGTAGAATTAGTGGCATGCTTGTCCTGATCACAAATGTAGAGTGCTAGGGTTGTAGTTAGTGATCTCAATTTTGACAGGGGTGCTTGGATTCTTTTCACTTAACATTAGATTTTCTATAATTCAATTATTCTAAATTTCATTCTCCCTGTTCCATCAGTTCTCATTAACCTTGGATAACAAAAGGACGGAGCCAAGGGGGGACCTACGGGTGCCACGGCCCCCCCAACAATTTTAATTTTTTTTTATATACATATATATTACTATATGGCACCCCCTATTTTTAATATAAACTCATATTTTTAATATAAACTCATATGTATATTACTATATGGCACCCCCTATATGGCACCCCCAGTATTGAAATCCTGGCTCCGTCCCTGCTGTGAAACAACCATATTCATAATCATGAGTATATAATATTTTCACCCTTCTTTCACCTCATTTTTTTTTCATTCTGTGTAACATTATATTACTTTTAACATGTTTTTAGTTCCATTTGTTTTCTTCTTATATTTAATAGCAGTAGAAAATATTACAATGTCGAAAACGAAAATCAAATTAAGTTCACTTGTATCTACTTTGATTAATCAGTTTTCCAAAACAAATTCTAATATAAGAGGATTAATATGTCTTGGCAAAAAGTTGGATATTTTTCACTTTGGGCAGTGGTTTATTTATTTATTTTTCTCTATTACAAGAAATTATTTTCTTAAATATAAATAAATTTAATTATTTTTATATCATTTAGTGATATTTTTACTTTAATGCATAACATTTATGTATTATTTTTTTAACATTTATAATAAGGATAATTTAAAAAAATTATGAAATAATAAAACTTAATGTTAATAACCAACTTTGTTAATATGCATTAGGATAAAAAATCAAAAAGTAATTATTTTAAAGTTCTAGAAGTTGAAAACAAAAAAAAAATATTTTATCAAAATAAACTAACTTAAATGCACATTAATTCTATTAATGTTTGGTGTATTTAATGTACAGTGTTTAATTAAACTTTTAATTTTATATTTCACGTTTATTTTTATATCATTTTCACGAGAAGAATTAAATCGGGTTTTATACACTAAGTCCTTCTCTATTTAATTGATATGGTCCTTACACGCTAGCAGTTTAATTTTTATATGTGATAGCTAGCAGTAACTATCTTAAGAAGAATTTCATATAATTATTAATCTAAAAACGTTTTTCACATGGGAAATAAATTAAAAATAAAGATTGAAATATGTGTGTTATTTGAGCTTGTTCCGTAACATTAGTGTACTCAAACATCCTTGGAGACATTTTTGGATTTATTTGTGTATCTTTCCTCACAAAACAAGAGAGTAACTTTTGTTCAAAAGTAAGAAAAGCATGAAAATGGAACTTGGTAGGTGGTGTATGTTGGGAGCCTTTGAAGTTGAATTTTTTTATATATTTTTTTTATTTGGTGGAAAAAGTAAGTTAACTCGGATAAAACAAATTGAGGCAGGGAAAGAAAACAAGGTAGCAAGGCATGTCCCAATCGTTTTTTTTTTGTACAAAACAAAGCAAGAAGGGCTATTTCCTAAAGACACCCAACCGATCC